GAGGTCAGGAGATCGAGATCATCCTGGCTAACATGGTGAAACCCCGTCTCTACTAAAAATACAAAAAAATTAGCAGGCATGGTGGCAGGTGCCTGTAGTCCCAGCTACTCGGGAGGCTGAGGCAGGAGAATGGCGTGAACCCAGGAGGCAGTGCTTGCAGTTAGACGAGATTGCGCCACTGCACTCCAGCCTGGGCAACAGAGTGAGACTTGGTCTTAAAAAAAAAAATTTCATGAGAACTCACTATCACAAGAACAGCATGGAGGAAACTGCCCCCATGATCCAATCACCTCCCACCAGGTCTCTGCAGACACATGCGGATTATGGGGATTACAATTCAAGATGATATTTGGGCAGGGACAAGCCAAACCATATCACAGACCTAACCTACTTTACTCCTTTCAGCATATGTTTCTCTAATGGCCACATCTGCATTAAATAAAATGAATAAAATGTTATGAATAAACATAATGGATATGTTCAAAGAACTTTTAGGCTAGCCTAGAAAACATTTACAAATACAACTAATTGAATAAACTCCATTCTCTCCACTTCAAATGTACACTGCTTGATGAATTTACGTACAGTCTTGTTTGACCAAAATCCATAAGAGTTTGGTGCAAACTTAAGGCCCTGGCTCAACTATTACTCACTCTCTCAAATCTGTAATGGAAGTAGCTCAGATGCAGAAGACCCGCACGCTTATTCAGGAGCATGAAGGTAAGTTGTAAATCTAAATGCATGAGAATGTCACACTGTGAAATGTTCTCCCATGCTAGGAGTGTGCTCTTGTCTTAGCAAACGGCAAACACAAGCATTCTGAGTCTCATTGATTTCTTGACCTTGCCCAGTCTCGCAAGAATGTGCTAATGAATTGTGAAGTGTTCAAAAATGAGTCAAATGAAGAGAAGCAACAAAGCTGCTGCATTTGCAAACTTGAGGGAAACTTTTGTGTCTGGGAGCCAGGTACTGTGGAGGTGGCAGGAAAAATGTAAAAGGGAAGTACTTCCTTTAGAGCATTTATAATTCCTCTTGTGCCCACAGGTGTAGCAATTTCAGACTTGTCGTATGTATATATGCATATGTATATATGTGTGTGTATATTTAAATGTGCTTTAAATGTGCCATTGTACTTCTTAATAGCTTTTTAATTTGTCATCTTCAGGTAATTTTAGTTTTTTTTAAATGGAATGCTACCACTAAACTTATTAATCCTCCACTTTGTTCTCTTCTCTTCTCTTCTTTTCTTTTTTCTTTTCTTTTTTTTGAGACGGAGTCTTTCCCTGTTGCCCAGGCTGGAGTGCAGTGGCATGATCTCAGCTCACTGCAACCTCTGCCTCCTGGCCTGTCTCAGCCTCCCAAGTAGCTTGGATTACAGGTGTGCACCACCACACCTGGCTAATTTTTGTAGTTTTAGTAGAGACGGGGTTTCACCGTGTTAGCCAGGCTGGTCTCAAATACCTGACCTCAGGTGATCCACCTGCCTCAGCCTCCCAAAGTGCTGGGACTACAGGCATGAGCCACTGTGTCTGGCTGGTATTTTTTTCTTTAACACTCATTTATTTATTTCATTCATACTAATTCTAGAGTAAATTTTATTTTGTTTTCTGGTTAAGTGCTATTTGAATAATGTGCTAAAAATTATGTTCCTCAAGTTACTTAATGAAGCCCAAACCACATTAATTCTTTTCTTGATACTTACATATAGTTACATTAACTCAGAACCCACTTCTAAAGGACATGAAATGATTAATATTATGATGTAACTTTTATTATAAAATATAGCAATAAAAAGTAGTAGTTATCCATATCTTAACTTTTCCACTTATCTTTAATGGATCCCATTGAATTTCTCCTACTTCAGAGATTATTTGATGGGTCTCGAGTAACTGCAGAAGTTTTGTACATTTTTTCTTCTACTTTATTTTATTTATTTATTTATTTATTTATTTATTTATTTATTTTTGGAGACAGAGTCTCACTCTGTCGCCCAGACTGGAGTTCAGTGGTGCAATCACGGCTCACTGCAACCTCCGCCTCCTGGGTTCAAGTGATTCTCCTGCCTCAGCCTCCTGAGTAGCTGGGATTACAGGTGCCCGCCACCAATCCCAGCTCATTTTTGTATTTTTAGTAGAGACAGAGTTTCGCCTTGTTGGCCAGACTGGTCTTGAACTCCTGACCTTGGGTGATCCGCCCGTCTCAGCCTCCCAAAGTGCTGGGATTACAGGTGTGAGCCACCACGCCTGGCCTCTTCTACTTTATTTTTTAAAAGAGCTGATCAGATTCCTAATTCTAGTACTAAATATATCTCCTTTTATCCTTTCTAAGTGTCCTCTTAGGGAGGTGGCTTTTTCCACATTCTCAAGTTCTGGCTGAGGATATTCTCTTATTTTATTTTATTTTTTTATTTTATTTTATTTTATTTTATATTTTTAGACAAAGTTTCACTCTTGTCACCCAGGCTGGAGTGCAATGGCACGATCTCAGCTCACTGCAACCCCTGCCTCCCGGGTTCAAGAGAGTCTCCTGCCTCAGCCTCCTGAGTAGCTGGGATTACAGGTGGCTGCCATTATGCCTAGCTAAATTTTGTATTTTTAGTGGAGACGGGGTTTTACCATGTTGTCCAGGCTGGTTTTGAACTCCTGACTTTAGGTGATCCACCCACCTCAGCGTCCCAAAGTGCCTGGATTACAGGCGTGCGCCACCACTCCCGGCCAGAATATCTCTTCTTAAGTGAGATGTTTGTGTATATGTATGTACGTGGCGGGGGCACTTTTTCTTAAAAACCTTTTTATTTTCAAGGAGTTTTATTCTTACAGAAGAGTTGTAGAGATAATACAGAGAGCCTCCATATACTCTAACCCAGTTTCCCTCATCAATATCCTCTATTCTCTTATATTATATTCTCCCCTCTATTCTCTTACATTAATATGGTACAGTTGTTATAATTAATGAACAATATTGATCTATTATCAACTAAAGTCCATACTTCAAAACCCTAAAACCAAATTAAGCTGTTATCTAGTGTCCCTCTTCTGTCCAGAATACCATCCAGGATACTATATTACATTTAGTTGTCACATCATCTTAAATTGTTTTGTCAGTCTCTATTCCATCCTAGGATCCCTAACCAACTAAATGATGTTTTTAAATTTGCATACACTAAAGTTTATTCCTTCTTTAGTAAAGTTTCGATAAATAAATATATATGTATTTTTTGATATTTTTGACAAATAAATATATGTATAGTCATATCTCCACCATCATTATGTTCATAATAGTTTATCTGCCCTAAAAATTTTCTGATTTCTCTATTCCACTTTCCCAACCTTTCCTGAATCCCTGGTAAACACTGATCTTTTTTTACTGACTCTATAGTTTTGCCTCTTCCAGAACGTCATATAACTGAAAACGTAACATATTCAGACTTTTCAGACTGGCTTAATTAACTTAATTTCCGTGTTGGTTTGTGGCTTGATAGCTCTTTTATTTTTCCCTTTTTTTTTTTACTAAATACTATTCCATTGTATTGATGTATCATAGTCTTTTTAGCCATTCTCCTATTGAAGGACATCATGCTTTCTTCTAGGTTTTGGAAATTATGAATAAAGTTGCTATAACATTCACAAGCAGAATTTTTGTGAACATAATCAGTTGGGTAAACATTTTGGAGAGTGATTGCTAAATTATAGGATTACGTTTCACTTTGTAAGAAACTGTTAAGCTGCCTCCCAGAATGGCTGTACCATTTTACAATCCAACTAGCCATGAATGAGTATTACTATTGTTTTACATCTTCACCAATATTTAGTACTGTCAGTTGTTTGGATTTTAGACATTCTTTTTTTTTTTTTTTTTTTTTTAGACAGAATCTCGCCGTGTCACCCAGGCTGGAGTGCATGGCATGATCTCAGCTCACTACAACCTCCACCTCCCAGGTTCAAGCAATTCCTCAGCCTCCCGAGTAACTGGAACTACAGGTGTGTGCCACCACACCCAGCTAATTTTTGTATTTTTAGTAGAGACGGGGCTTCACCTTGTTGGCCAGGATGGTCTTGATCTTCTGACCTCGTGATCCACCTGCCTCTGCCTCCCAAAGTGCTGGGATTAAGGTGTGAGCCACCTCGCCTGGCCAGATTTTAGACATTTTTATGGGTGTATAGTAGTATTTCATTGTTGTTTTAACTTGCAATTCCATAATGCCAGATAATGTTAAGCATCTTTTTATATGCCACTGCCATGTATATATCATATTTGCTGAAGTGTCTCTTCAGATCTCTGCCTGTTTTTACAATGGATTGTTTTCTTTTTTTTTTTTTGAGACAGTTTCACTCTGTCACCTAGGCTGGAGTGCAGTGGCACTGCCTCTGCTCACTGCAACCTCTGCCTCCCGGGTTTAAGCGATTCTTCTGCCTCAGCCTCCTGAGTAGCTGGGATTACAGGCGTGAGCCACCATCTGTGCCATCTTACAAAAGTGCTGGTAGAAAATAGCAGACCCAGCTTCCCCATCAATCTTAAAGAAAGCAGCATTTGCTTCAAGTCCCAGGAGGGAGCTGGGCTCGGTGTGGGGAGTGAGCAGTCTAAACACAGCATAAGACTGAAAATTCAAACTGTTTAATGGCAATTATTGATTTTAAATGTGCTTTCTGTAATTCCCCTTTCCTCTCTTTTAGTGGGCAGATCTCGTTAAGTTTTCTAGACATGCTGAGTTACTGAACCTCCGTGTGGTTTAAACTCTTGCCCAACTAAATCTCATGCCCTCTGCATTAGTGTGTGAGGGCTGCCACAACAAAGAACCCCAGACTGGGTGGCCTAAAGAAGAGAAAATTGGTTTCTCACTTCTGGAGGCTGGAGGCCCAAGATCAAGGTGTCAGTGGGGTTGGGGCCTTCTGAGGCCTCTCTCCTTGGCTTGTAGATGCCGCCTTCTCCCTCTGTTTACACGGCCTTCCCCCTGTGTGTGTCTGTCTCCTAACTCCTCTTCTTATGAGGACACCAGTCACACTGGATTAGGACGCACCCTAACGACCTCATTTAACCTTAATTACTTCTTTAAAGGCCCTATCTCCAAATACAGTCACATTCAGATGTACTAGGGGTTCGGACTTCAACATGTGAATTGAAGGGGATACAATTCATGCAGTTCAGCCCAAAACACCCTTCCTTTCCCAGCGCAGGGGTGAGGAGGTGCCTCAAGAAAGGGAAGAAGGTGGCCTGGTTCTGAGATACCATTACTTCCTCCCTGTCAGAGCCTAACTCCTCTGATGTTGGGGCCTGGGAAGGACAATGGAAGAGGAGGGGCAGGCACTTGTTACCTGGTCTACAACAGTTGGTGTCCTCTCCTGCTTTTTCTGCCAGTAGTTCCCAGCCTGGCCTTGGTCCTCTTCAGGAAACAGCACACCTGCAAGTTCCTCGGAGGGGTGTGGTGAGCATCCCACCGCACGGCCCCCAGGAGCTGGTTCCCCTTCTTCCTCCATTCGACTCTTCACTCCAACAGAAGCTTCAGTGCCTGTCAAGTGCCAGAGGCCCTCCCCAGAGACCATGCAGCCCTCTTTGAATGCACCAGACAGAGGGATTCGAACCTGGCTATGTCCAGGCTCCTGGAAAACTGTTCTTTCCTTGCCAACCAGATGATGGCCAAGCAGGCTGCTCCAGTTCGCTGCTCAGGGTGGCGCAAGGGCAAACCTGCTCATCTCCTGTGTCAGCAGACATCTAACTAATAG